ATGGTCTTTCCCTATTTCACGGAGGTTATAAAGCATGACCTGTAGATTTTTTTATGATGTCTTCTCATTATTGTGTTAAATTATCATTTAGATAGTGTTTAGTGTGAAAAGCACAATATGATGCATGATTTTTCTGTTGATCTTTCACATACGTGCTGTTTTTGAACCCTTGTGTTATCTCATTAGCTTACCAAAATTGTTTGGTATTTCAGGGATGGACTACATTGCAACTAACTCGTGATTCAGATAATAGAAGATATTTTTCAGCAAGATCAGTCACTGGGTTTCTTTCAGATGTTTATTCTGCAGCTGCTGATGAAGTTGGAAAAATCCATTTAATTGCTGATGAAAGGGTTTGTATCTGAGTTATTTTCTTTACTTGGAACTTCTATCCTTTTGGGAACATACCCGCACAGTTCTAACCGTCTGAAATTGCCAATACCTAACATCAGGTTCAAGGAGCCGTTTTTGATCTTCCTGAGGAAATTGCTAAAGAGTTACTTAATAGGGACATACCACCTGGAAACACCATTTCCAAGATCACCAAGGTAAATTACAATATTTGGTTCATGTTTTGTTTTATACTTCTATGTTGTCCCTGCCTGTTTTCTGCCCATACTTTGCCACCAGTTTATTGCATTACTGATTTTATAAACGCATTGCACATGTTACTTTGTACTGGCAGCTACCTCCTTTGCAAGACGATGGGCCTCCAAGTGATTTCTATGGGAGGTTTTCTGACAGAGACCGAAGTAACAGAAGAGGTTCTTCTTCCAGGGGAGGTTTTTCTTCTAGGGATCGGAGAGGTGGTGGTTTTAAATCCTCAAGGGGATGGGATGATGACCAAGACTCTGATGATGACTTTGGTGATCGATCTAGGAGAGGTGGTAGAATTTCTAAAACTGGCAATAGCTGGTCTCGGTCAGCAGGAAGAAGCAGTGGGGATGATTGGCTAATTGGGGGTAGAAGATCAAGCAGGCCTTCATCATCAGACAGGTTATAATAACATAATGTTAAAATATTTAAGGACCTGTTTTTATAAATTTCTCCAAAAGCACTTATAATAGAGAAAAATTGGTAAGAAAAATGAATTAAGTTTCTATACAAGTTAAAATTAGTTTATGCACACGCTAATTTGTAAAATTTTCTCTTATTAAATTTTTCAAAATTTTATTTTTAATTCATGCATAAGCTAGTTGTAATTTATGAAGAAATTTATTTTAATTTTCTTTATTATTTTTCTCTTTTAGAAGTACAAATTTATCCAAAGTAATCCTAAATTTTGTTTGGTGTTTTTCTCTCTGCGAATTATAATAGACCCCATTTTCGTGTAACTGATGATATGACATGTGAATGTGCATTGCAGAGGTGGCTTTGGAGGTGCCTGCTTTAACTGCGGGGAATCTGGGCATCGTGCATCAGATTGTCCAAAGACTTCAAACAGGCGAAGCTTTTTTTAAGTTCCCCTCATATTTTTTGGGGCACTGCTTTGTCGAAGACGTGAACTACTGCCACCGTTTTTGGCCTGATGGGTTCCGGAAAATTGAACGATGCTTTAAGAAAGAGTTACAGAATCAATATGAATTTGCATCTCACGTGTTGGCGTGATCTCCATAGGGACCTCTTTTTGATTCTCACTGAAATATTTAGTATTTGTTTTGGGCAGTGGTATTGGGTAAGAATAGTATTTTGACAGTTTGGTTTTGTATCTTCTTTTTGGGGTGAGCTGGCGGGTTGTATGGTCCTGTATTCTACGTAACTTAACCATGTTATTTATGATCTTTTTGAACCTTCATGGTTTAGGGACAGAAAGGAAATATGAATGAAAGATGAAATGCCAAAGGTTTATGCAGAACATGCGTTATGCACTATTTCTGCGTCACATTCAAGTCTTCAAAAAAAAATAAAAATCACAAGATATAAAAAAAATGGTAATATATGATTTTGATTTCTTTAAAATTTCGTAAATTTGGTTTTAGTCTCAATTTTTTTATATTTTATATTTTGCTCTTCTAATTTGTAAATGCTTTTATGATCTTCAAACCAGTTATAAAAACAAGCCGTTTGATAATGTTTTCATAACTATTTTCCGGGGCAATTTAAATTGTTTTTGGGGAACAAAATAAAACATTTTTTTAGGGAATAAAACTGGATTTTAAAAAATTTTAGGGGCTCAAAATATGATTTATTCTATAAAGAAATTAATTTCATCTTTTTGCGATGCGCTTTCTATTTTTAGCCATTACAATTTTATATCCAGATGTACATTTTTATAGTTGAAAAAGAAATAAAAGAAACAAACAAATTAAATATATAAACTAAATTGAAATAGTGCAAGAATTTCTTTTGGGAAAGTACAAAGGGGATAGCCGAGGAAGATAATTTTTCAATTCAAGTAATGTGTGTAGTCCTATACTTCTTTTATAAAAAAAAAAAAAAAAAGGATTTCAATTTAATCTTTGGATACTCTATTTTATGTAATACACACAGGAAAGCACATATACACAAAAGCACATATACACAAAAGGGCACTCAAAATTGTCTCAAATAAGGGGAAATGCCACCTATTTTATACATTAAAAAAATTACATTATTTCGAATATATTATTAAAAGTTGAGTTTCATTATTGTCCTTTCAAGATTCTTTTAGCACATTATTTTAAATTATTCTCCCAACACTTTTATTATTATATACAAGCAGAGAAGAAACACTTTGTATTTTTATTAATTAAAAAATAATAAATAATAAAATGAATGGTTAATTAAAGATTTATAGAAAATTGAAAAATGAATAATAAATAGAAGTTGTTTGAAAATAGTCATTAAAAATAAAAAGAATGGATTGAGTCAAAAGTTTTATTTTCTTTTCACACGATCCAATTCAACCTAATCTAACTTTAATTGGATTGATTAATTAAAATATTAACATATATATTCTAAATTCTGAAGAAGAAGAAAATTAGATCGATCATTTAATACAAGTCTCAACCATTAATAATAGATGCAAATAATAGGTAATATGATATATATTTTACATAATACAACACTAACAAGAAAAAAATTGGTTAATTTCATAATACATTATTAACTTAAATTTTAACTAATGTATCATGTAAGTTTTATATAATAGGATTTAATATATATTATATTATTAACTTAAGTCTTCAAGTATAATGTATTTTTCTAATTTTATGTGTTTGTTTCATGTATTATATAATGAATATTTTTTATATATTATTCTTATAATTTAAATTTGATCGGTCTAATTACAAATCATTTAATCTGTTATGCATCTGAGTTATAATCACATTAGTCAAAAAATATCTTACTCAATCCGATCTAACATCAGTAAGAATTAAAAATTTAAAGAGACAATAACGCGGGCATTTTGAAAATGGTTAACTTTTATAAAATGTTAACTTTTAATAATAAAAAATATATTAAAAAGGTTTTACTTGGTTTGAGGCGGCACTCTCAAATTGATCCTCTGAGTCTGAGTCTGAGTCTCAGTTCCTTGCAATTTCTTTTTCTCTTTAATTTCATTCTTTCAAATCCTTTCTGCATCTTCGCCGCGGGTAAGCATTTTTTCGTGTTACATAACGGTGTGGGTTTTAAGGAAATTAAAATTTAGGTTTTGCATTCACTTTTATTTGTTTATTATAAATTAGGCATTTATGCTTATTTATTTAATTTTACAATTTCAATTGTTATGTTAACACTGAACAGGAACACGGTGCTTTTGTAAAAAAGTGGAGAAAAATGGCAGAATTGAGTTTGGGAATTCTAATTGATATTGTTGATGAGGAATGGATGAGAGACACTCTTCCTGATGATGGTATATTTTTACGTTTCACATGAGTTTTTATTTATATCTATGTGGGTATGCGATGTCCCTTTATCTTTCTTGCTGTTATTACAGATCTTCCACTTCCCCCAACACTGGTTGTCAGAACAGATGACACCGAGGACTCAAGTATGTCTCTTGATTCGCTAATTCAATCATATTCTGTGGACAATCTCTTTCTTCAGCTTGGTTTATAAAATCATTTTCAATTCAACACTTGTTGTTGTATTAGGTTTTTTTTTTGGAAGATAACTCCACATTTATGCATTAACATTTAATGTTATCCTGAGAAGATACAATACTATGAAATTAGTAAGCTAAAAATATGGTTGTTGAAAAGGATAATACTTGGATACATTTGGTGGAATACTGTCGACAATGTTCAATTAGAATTGAAATTTCATATTTGTATCATATGTTTGACCGTTAATGTAAGTTAAAATTTCAATTTTAATTGGCGGACAATGTTAAAAACACCAGTAAGGTTCTGTGTCTGAATTTTGTCCTGAAAAGAAAACGTGTGTTTGGACATCTGTACTTATAAACAATAGTGAGATGATTATTGATTTATTGTTAATGAGATGGGTCTTTCTTTCGAAGGGTTGTTTCTAGTTTTCTTAACTATTAACACCTTGTTCTTTGCTTTCTTGACCAGATCAGGAGACGCAACAAGTTAATGCAGATGCTTGGCACGATCTTGCCTTGGGTCAAGAATAGAAGTTTCATTAACTAGTGTCATGCTTAGTAGTTTGTGAGTAGATGGTGGTGCTCCCTGGTATTGGACTAGGCATCTTTCTTTCTATTTCCCTGATAGATTGTAACGTATTAAAGTTTATCAACCTGTTAATGTGATATTAAGGAATTGTAGTGTCATTACTGAATGTAATCGTTTGCTGTCATGGAAGCACTCTTATTTTTGCTTTAAGGTTTAAGCAAATTTAGGGCAGCCCGTGCCTAATGGTGGAGTACTGGTATGCTTCGAAACCTGTATTAAACTACGTTTAATATTAACATGTTTAATGATAATATACAGTTTCTTTGAATACAGTAGGAGTACTTGTTTGATATTAGTTATTTTTGAAGAAATACTTGCTTATTTTTAAAAAATTATTTTAGAAAACTGACAAAAGTAAGTCGAACACACAATAAGTTGCAACTTGTGCTTGGTTAGTTGGTTATGCTAGCTGTATTCATGAGTTACTTCCTTACCAGAAAGGTGCTAGAGGGAAACAAAACTATTCTGATTCTTAAGAACTCTCTAATTTTATTCTGATGATCAATTTTATTCTTCTATCAAGTCTACTCTTCATTCTTTCTTTGTTTTGTTATCGCACTTTGGTTCTGTATTGATTTCAGATTCCTCAGATGCATTTGAGTTCAAGATTCCATGTACTGGCTCTCAAAAGATTCTCGTGTGCTACCTTGTCATAATCTTGTTTGTTTAAAGAGTAAATTATGCTCACACTCCTTATGTTTTTTTTTATATTTTATTTTATAGATTGCATATGATATCTTTTCGTTTTTTCGAACTTATGATGAGATTCTTTAAAAGTTGAAAAGATGATATATTGTCCTCCCTGAACCTATAAATAACGTCAAATTTGTTAATATATTTGTATTATGTAACTTGTAGAAGACATGAATATGTTAACCAATTTGATTCAAATTGTGAGTTGGAGGGACTGTGTAATATTTTTTCAATTTTTAAGAGATTTTATTGTTGGTCCAAAAAATGAAGAAATATCGAGTACAATTTCAAAAAAAATAATAGATACAAGTATAATTAATCATATTTAAAAGAAAGTGTATTAAACTATTTTTAGAATAACATCTTATTTAAATTCTATTAATGAAATAGTAGGAGGCCACTATTGTTGTGAAAAGGCTAGAAACACTAGCTCATTTGCAAAGGATATAAAGGTGCCACTAGTTGCCTTCCAAACAGTTGTTATATTAATTATATCGATTATTTATATCAAATTTATTTATTCAAATTTGCAGAGTTTTAAACTTAAAGCAACATTGAACTTTTTAATTTAATTAACAATAGCATATTTTTTCTTAAATAATTTTCAAGCTTAACTAAAAAAACATAATTTCTCCGATATAAAGATTAGAAGTGAGGTAAATGTTTTGTAATTTTATCTAATTATTAAGATTTGGGATGCAATATCTTGGTTGTAAGATCTTTACGACTATAGTTATATTTTTTTACACATTTAAATTTTATAATCTCAATTAGTAATCTTGAACACAATATTTATATATTTGATAAGTTTTTTTAATATTCCGTTGAATGTGAAATACAAGTAAACTTCAATTAAATCATAAGTAAAAAGATTATTGCTTTTCTTTTAAAGTTAATTTAAAAAATTAATTTCAACTTAATTTTCTACATATAATTCAAACACAACATAATTCCCAGCAACTCGTAATTGCAAATTGCATCTGGTGCAATTGGCCCACATCAGCATGTGTGATGAAACCTTGCGAAAAAATGATGATCGTGAATAAGAAATTTCATATTCAATATAGCCACCAAATTAATATAATGATTAAGTAGCACTGTAGCAGTAAAATTTATAGTATTCATGGACAAATAAATCCATGCATATTAAATACAAACTTCAAATTTGAGCAAGAAGTTTTTTGGAGATTTTCTTTCAATAAAAAAGTTTTTAAGATTTTTTTTTAATTTCTTATTTAATTCATATTTTATTTATCATGATTATTTGTGTTAAATTTTATCATTTTTAAAATAAGTTACCATTAAATAAAAATAATGTTATGTCACAATATAAAATAATTATACATATTTTAAATGTAATTTGTATGTTTAAACATAATATTTATTTATAATATATAATTTATTATAAATTTTAGTTACATACAATTAAGTGCACAGACTAAAATACTAGTAAAATATAATTTAAAAAAATCTGTACCAAATGTATTTCGTTGTTCTTACAACAGGATATATACCGTCCGGGATATTCAAGCCAGTGTAGAAAAATCAATCTTTTGAATACGTAGAGGGACGGAGGGACAGCGAAAATATCATTTTAATTCCTAAATAAAGAAAACATCCATCAGAGATGAGATACCCAGTCAGGAATGGGCACGGCGAATGGGTACAATTGTGTATGCAGTCCATAAATTGTTACAAACCATTGAACTAGAGAGACTGGCATTCAACTTGTAAACTTTAAAACAGCAAAAATTAAAAACCGGTCAACAAAAATTCAAATCAGGAAAAAATAAAAGAAACAAAAACTCGTGTGTCACAATCACAACAACATGAGACAACCCCGTAGCTCGGTACAACTTTCTACAAAAAATGAGGTAAAAAAGGGAGAGCTGCTCGGTACAATTGTACCTTTGGAGTTTAGGCTTGTTACAAACTAATATACTAGATTTCCTTCATCTCTAAAATGATTTCTTTACAACTGTAAACAAAACATGAATTAAAAATGAATTCTTTTTCCAAGTGCTTATGTCAACAATGTGGTGGGTATACCAATTATATAAGTGGGTCACTCGCAGGAACTGTAGTTTGACTTGGGGCTGTTGTTGAAGTTGGAACAGTAGTCTCTGCAACCTCTGGTACTGGTGCTGGGGGAATCTCTGGTGGTGCTGGATTGCTGGTAGACGCTGCTTCAACAGTTTCACTGTTAACATTTGGATCTCCATCACTTGCTGGTGTAGAGGTAGGAGCAGCAGCATCTGCGGTGGTTTCACCTGATTCTGGTTGAGGTGGAGCAGCTGCAGGAGCTGGCGTGGAATCTGAGGTAGGCTCTGATGGAGGTGGATCACCAACTGATGCAGGTGCAGCTTCAGGCTGCTGTGGAGCGCTCTCCGGTGCGGCTGTTGTCGTAGGAGGTGCTTCCAGAGCCAATAATGGCTTGCCTGGGGGCTGTTGGGAATTCTGTGCAGCAGAACCTGGTTTCTTCTGGATGGAAATAGGAGCATTAAGAGACATCATACCCGGAGGCAGGATTTCAATAGGTGGTTTCTTCCCTGCATCTGCCAAACTTGTGAGCTTAGGCTCCTCAAGAGAAGCTAAAAATGCAGCTGCAGCATCTGTCTTCTGTGATGGAGTAGGTTCAATCTCTCTCTGTAACGCTTGGTTCCATGCCTGAACTAAGTTCTTCAAAGTTGGACGTCCGTGTGCCTGGAAATAACAAGGTCAGACTACAAGTACTAAATTGAGGGATCAACTAGTTGTACACAACAAATCTTACATGAGCATGAAGCACAGCCTCTGCCAGCATTCCAGTATCCTGCCATGCTTTTTCCATAAGAGCATTGTCGCCCAAAACAGCACCAGCAAACGCAGCTTCCCGTCCCAATCCAAGCGTGACTAAGTTGTTAACCAGACCCTGCAATGCAAGAACATATACCTTTGTTTATGATTAAAAACCCAAAAAAAAAAAAAATTATTAAAACTAAAGAGCTGAAGAAGACAGGTTATCCCAAAGAAAGTAGTATGTATGTCATCTCAAACAGACATTTTAACATAAATTGAACGTGTTAAGTTCAATAAAAGAGTTGAAAATTGAAAATATCAAAGAATAAATATTTCTCCTTTCTTTTTAACCCCCTTTGATTTTGATCCGTGGTGTTTTATGCCATTACCGCTTGTTTTTCTATAAAACACCAGTTCACTTTTTTTAAGTAATCATAAACCTCTCTATCTCACACACAAACACATGTTAACATGCACACACTTCTATAAGAATAAACAATAACCGACTTGACAATATTTACCACATAAGATTACAAGATCGGAGCTACTAATGCCTCTATATTTAAATCACTTCTTACCATCTGTAGTATGTTTGTAGAAGAACCAGCATAAATATTAGCACAAAACTTAAAAACAGTGCCATAGGTGTTGTTTTTACTATTATCCTATTATAACATGCCATCTAGATATTTTTTTCACGCCATATTAGTAATTCAAGAGACAAATGTTATTGCTACCATTATTTCTTTCTCTCAGTTTCTCTTAGTAAACACTCCCACTAAAAACTCTCCCTTTCTCTCCATGATTTTATCACGAAGTCTTTTCAGTTACTTTAAAATAGAATACCCAAAATCATAGACAGTTCTAGCATAATCAGAGAAAAAGGAGACTAATGACCATGAATTCAGCAAAACATTGGATCTCATGATCAATAATTAACAATTAAATCCTTATAAAGTAAACACCAGAATCTTAAAAAGTAAAATCCTTATAAAGTAATTAGACTTTTTCTTTCATCGAGTTAATTTTTGTTGCTTGGGTTGAAGCTTTCAAACTTCCATGGTGCTATTTAAGATGGAGGTTGTTGAAACCTATTTGGGTAACATGGTGAAAGATGCAACTATCATTGTCCCTGCTTACTTCAGCAATGCACAAAGACAAGTCATAAGAGATATGGGCAAAATCTCAGGTTTGAGCGTGTCGAAGAGCATCAATGAGCCAACTGCATTTGCTATTGCTTAGAAGGGTGGAGAGAAGCTAAACAGAACGTGTTTGTGTTTATTAACATGACGTGGAAAATTTTTCCAGCTGGCATGTTATAAGATAACCATAAAAACAGTACCTATAGCACTGTTTGTAAGTTATGTCCTAAATATTATGTCTAGAACATCTAATAGACATCTTAGCATCATTAAATTTAAAATAATCAGTAAGAAAACACAATTAATTGTCACATTTATTTATAAAATCAAGCAACCAATGAATTAACAGGAAATTTACTTACAGAAAGAGAGACACCAAATGAATTAACAAGTAAACATGCATCAAACATCCAAAAATCAGTTGAATGGAAGAGCAATATTAAGAAAGACTGCCTACACTTAGCCGAGTCAACTCTCCATGATTTGCAAGGCGTAATGCTAATCCTCTCAATTCATGACCTTCTAAAGCACCTTTCA